AACCGTGTATGACCCTTCTGTCTCAACGAGAAGTAGGTTATGATTCTGTATTCTAAAATTCAAGCTGGCTGCAATACCAACATTATGGACCCGGAAGCGGTATGTTTTTCCTGATTTCGGTAAAGATGGTAGAAAGTGATCAGAAACAAAAAAATAATTAGCTTTCTACTATTATATGCAAAACTCAACAAAATATCATTCAGCAACCCCTTTTCAAAGATTGAAGTAGCTATTGACGAAAAAAATCTATGACATGTGACTAAATCAGTGAGTGGAACATATCATTCATATCTATACCAATACGAAAAGTAAAGCAAGAAGGCAAAACATTTTAGATCCCTATTTTACCTGGCTCAACATTGATTGTCTCATACGGTATACCACTTGAGGCAAGCTCCTGAGTGTACGGAAAAGGTCCTAATCCATTAATGATAATGCCATCGGGGACTCCAAGATCAATCCCACCCTCAATATCTTTCCTCAGTTTCTGTCTCCGCAAAGGCATCAATCAGAAAAGAGTGAAAATCCCAAAGAAAGAACCTAAGACAGCGTGACAAAAGACACAAAGACGGTCATATCTCCACTAACCTTATGGCCCTTAGTGTACCAGTCACTGATAAAGAGCGTAATATCCCCGTCAGGTAGAGCAAAGGGTAGCGGAATGACTTCTCTATTGTTTATAATGATCCCTCCATACCCGCCTGCCGCTCTCTGAAAGTCGGTGGAAGGAAAGTAAAAGAAACTCCCTATCTGGTCTTTGACCTGAAACTGATAAGTCCAGTTCCAACCGGAGGGAATCGGGCAATTAGTCCCTAAAACACCATCTTGCCAGGAGTTTTTCCTATGTTGGATGCCATTCCTACGTCATGAAAAATTCTAAGAATGGGTGAGCAGCCTGACAATTTCAAGTAAACGGTTCAACAATCCTGATCCTCACAAAATCAACATACCAGGTGATGAGCAATGGTTCATCGAGATCATTCTTCACATTCACAACAACATTCCAATTCGTAGTAACGTTGAGAATCGGACCTGGGAACCGCCCATTGATCCCAATGACCTGGGGACAGAGGAACAAAGCTTCATCTGAGTTTCTCACACTATTATGCTGCTCAGTGAACGGGTAAGACGCCCAACTACATTCGCTGATCCGACCATTAGAACTAATCGTCTACACTAACCCTTTAACTCTGAAGCTACTCAATCAGTCGAAATTCACCAGCAGAAACCAATAATGGGTTCGAGAAAAGGTCTAAAACCTGAACTGAAAATGAAACTTCCATGAAAACAAAATAGAAGAAGAATGAGAAGAAAGACAAGAACCTGTTGGCGAGTGCCGAGGGGCGAAGCGGTGAGATAAGAGACAGTCCAATCGTAGAAGACGTAAGGATCGCCGCCGCGGCAACAGGTCGCCGACAACCACACCACCGACGCGAGGAAGAGACGAGCGTACGAACGAGTCGGTGCACAGGACCGCATCCCCCCCCCCTCTCTCTCTCTCTCTCTCTCTCTCTCTCTCTCTCTCTCTCTCTCTCTCTCAGAGTTTCTTTAATTGGATACACTGAGAACAGTGAGAGACTGGAGAAGCATGTGCAGAGATTGGGAAAGCTATAAGACCGTGTTTGGTAGACATCCCGAGGCGCCAAAAGAGTCGTGGTGCGGGACCCACATTCTGCAACACCTTTAGAAATTATTAATTTGCCCCAAAATATACTAAAATATACACAAAGAACCCGATTCTTTTGTTTGAGAGAATTATACCATTTAACAAAGACTAGTGAGAGCAATTTTTAAATCATAGATAATTATAAACGGGATACCATTGGATTACTTTTTTTATAATTAAAAAATTAATCGGATTTTCGACTCAACTACCATTTTAAAGATCGGAAAAACTCAAATAAATGTATTTCTTCAAGCGAATACTCGAATCTAGATTGGAAAATAACTTTAGGTTTTATATAGCATTGACAAAAAAAACCACAAATGATTGTTTTTTTTTTAAAAAAAAAGCATGCATACAAAAAAGTACTCGATATTTAGGGTTTGAGACATTTTTATTATGCATACATATACATAAACAAGCACGCATATGCATATGAATATCATATACATAAATGGATAAATAACAAGAATTAAGCTAACGAAACTTATGAGTCACATACCCCCATTCACCCATTTTATAAATTTTTTAAATTTTTTATATAAATTTTATAAAATTTTGAACAAAATTATTAACCCCATAAATTAAATTTACCCGTAATAAAATTAATCTTACCCCAATTACATATTTTTCTAGGCTCACCAATAGCCATCATAAAAAACAATCGTAAGAAAAGAGATATCGATAAATGTCACAACGTCCTTATCGAATGACTAAGAACATGCATGCAACGTCCTTGGTAACCATTTCATATTATTTGTGCAATGTTTTCCTCTTTGTTATAGGAAATGTGTCGGAAATATTTTTTTTACTATAAGATATTTTTAATGACCTACGATACAATTACATATGAATCAACAACTTTACACCTTATATGTTCAGATCAATCATCGTTCGCCTTTGGATCAATGAACGAAATGATAAATGACTAATTAACCGCATGCAAGGATTTCTCCATTTTTATGGTAGAGTTCGAATGTTTCATCTCTAGTTAATTAAAAGACGATCAACCCTTAAGATTGAATTTTTTTTAATTAATGCGTCGATCGATACAATAGAAAATACATAGTTATATATATATATATATACACACACGTGTGTGTGACTCATAATACGATGGGAGATAGTTTTTCACGCTCTCAAGAGTTCTTCCGGAGTGGTCACACAATTATTGATGGAAACGTAAAAACTAAATTATGTTGCCATTATTACAATTTAAGTAATATATAAAGATTACAATTTAAGCAAATTTCCCTCCAATTTAATAACAACAATTTTTATATAACTAAAAAATCGAATTCCAATATGATCGAAAACTTGTCCGTACAAAATTAGAATGGGTATAATATCATCATCTTACATGATATTAATATAAGACAAAATATGAAAAAGACGTAGGAGGCAACCACAAGCACAATACACACATGAGATCTCCAAAATGCATTTCCATGGTTAGTTTGATTTAAACATAATGATCTGATTTTAACGTAAATTTGTTATTTGTCGTGTTAAAGCTTGTAACTCATGTGTTCAAAAAAAAATTTGAAAAATGCTAAAGCTGTTCATTGTTTTATAGTTCTGTCAAAAAATCATTGTTTATAATTTAATTAAGAGACAAAATAATTGCTATATAATCACCATGCCCTCGATTGATTAGGCTTCACATGCCGTGTTTCTCTAAACGTATTATTTAAATAAAAAAGACAAAATCATAACTATGTTCATAACAGATTTTATTACATCAAGAAGAATTACAATTGTTATCTGCAACAAAACCTTAAAACCAATGAAAAAACTCTAAAAAAAGCACATCAATTATACGTTCTATAATACAACACAGCACATTTTATATAAGATTATATGGTATGATAAGAGTTATATAATGCGTATTTGGATGCACAGTATACAATTTTAGAAGATATATACTTCAAATCGGATGAAAACCCGACTTCCTATAAAGTTGGAACTTCAAAGATCTCAGCGAATCTTTTGAATCCCAATCAGTTGAACAAAAACATTTCACAATCAAGTATTTTTTTTTAAAATCTCTTTACAGATTTCCCAAGAGATACCATATTCATTTCAATTCGTTCGTATCAAGAAACATTGTATAATTATTAAAAAAAAAATACAGCCTCGGAGATTGTTCGTCGATATCTTTGCATGTGAAAAAAAAACACAAATTACGACAAGAAGTTACAAAAAGCAGCATTGAGATTTGATCTTTTGAGCGTTGGGACAAAATAATCTCTCGTAGAGAAGATACAGGGGTAATTTGGGTATTATATGCAAATGATATGATTGGAACAGTCCCTAAGAAAGTGAAATCACGCGCCTTCTCTCCCTCTCTCACCGGGTTCGGATCCCCGAGTTCGAGTTGGCCAATAATCAAAACATTATTTTTAATATGTGTTAAAATTAATAATATTTCTACTACCATATTTATATCAAAACTTTAGTTTAAATTAAATATAACAAATTCTAAACTATCAAAATTACACAAAAAATTGAACGTATTATTTTTATTTTTTAGATGAGATTTTTACATTATAAATTAATCATAAAATATAAAATACCACAATTAAACAAAACAAATGGTAAAATATAATTATTTTCCTAAAATAATTATATTTAGAATATCATTCCATCTAAATACTTTTAAATCATATATATGGTGTGTATTTGATATGTTTTATTTTGTTTTAAATTTTATAATTTATACTTTTATCAATGATATATATATATATATATATATATATATTATTTGATGTTATATCAAGATGAAAATTAAAAAATTATTTATGTATAAATTATTATATGAATATAATATTAACGTTTAGTATTTTATCTTTAAAAATATAATTAATGATTTTTAATTATGAGTTTATAATCAATATGTTTATTAATATAATAGTATAAATTATTATATGAATATAATATTAACATTTAGTATTTTATCTTTAAAAATATAATTAATGATTTTTAATTATGAGTTTATAATCAATATGTTTATTAATATAATAATTTAAAATATATATTGATACAATATTTTTTAAGATGATTTTAAAATTAAAATTTTTTATGAATACAATAAATTAAAATGTTTAATAAGATAATCTTTATTTATTAAAATCTATACAATTATTTTTCTATCTTTTTAAAATTTACAAAATTACATCCTTCAAATATAATATATATTAAAACTGATAAAAATATATTTAATTATTTTTATGAAAATATGTAATATTTTAGAATATAAAAACTCATAAAATTATATCAAATTTTAAATTTTAACATACAAAATATCAAATTTGAATAATAAGACTGTTTTAAAGTCAATACATAGCTGCAGCAAGCAGGTTGAACTCCACGCACCTTCAGGCGCGTAGTTGATTCGTACTTGTCCTCCCCATGTGCCGCGGTCCACATAGTTCCCAGCATCTCGGCCCATGTAGATCTTCAGACATTTACCCTCCTGCTTTGCAGTAAACTACAGTTCTGCCATTACTAAACGCGGCGATATTTGGTTGGTTAGGATACCTGGAAGACAAAAACTGAGAAGCAGGGGATAACTACTCCTTGGAATATCTCCCCTCAATAATTTCATCCATCTGGTTTCAAGCTGTCACCACTGTCCTCTTCTTCTCTTCTTTGCATAAACCCTAACCTCAATCTCCTGATCGTGAGAAAAAATCCGATCGGCGGACAAAAAATTTCATGACTTGAGGAGAACGATCCCCGGGTTTTCCACGAAAACGCCGGAAAAAGAGATGCTTCGTCTTCTTCGAGTCGTTGTTCTTCAGCTCGTTATCGCCGCCGCGATCTCGATCCCGGAGGCGATCTCGGGGAACGAGTCGATATACGAGATTCTCAGAGCGAATGGGTTGCCGATGGGGCTGTTACCGAAGGGCGTGAAGGAATTCAACGTCGACGGCCAAACAGGGGAATTCTCAGTGTATCTGTACCAGGCCTGTAATGCCAGGTACGAGTCTGAGCTGCATTACGATGCTAACGTGACGGGCACGTTAGGGTTTGGGTGGATCTCGGGTTTGTCAGGGATCTCGGCGCAAGAGCTCTTCCTGTGGTTTCCGGTGAAGGGGATCCGAGTCGACGTCCCGAGCTCCGGCGTCATATACTTCGACGTGGGTGTTGTCCGCAAGCAGTACTCTATGTCTCAGTTCGAGACCCCGAGGGATTGCGTTGCGGTTCGGAGTGAGGATGAGCTCCGGGACGAAATCAAGGTATGAAATTGTGCGAATTTGAGTCATGAATCTGATAATCTAGTCTCTTGTTGAACAACTTAGATTAGCAGGCTTTGTGCTATAGTTTGAAGGGAGAGTGACGAGAAAAACTTGGATTTAGCAATTTGCACGAACTGATATTCAACTGTTCGATCCACGAAGATTGACTGAAATCGCCTTGTGATTGTATAATTACTGGATTGTGGATTTGGATTGAGTTTTCAGAGCAGCGAAAAGGCCCTAAGATTCAGCCTTGATGGGGAAGAATCCTTTACTATAAAGTTCATAGTTTGATTTCATTTCATATGTCTAAATCCGGGAAGTTTGTGGATCCTTTTGCCTAATTTTGGATCTAACTTTTTCCAAGTCTGAATCGTTCAATGTTCATGCAGATCCAGTCTCTTATGCTGCCACTCCATGAACTAGATCAAGAATCCACTGCCCGAAACATTGCCTAGCCCGCTCGGTCGAGGAAAGTTTGTTATCGATATCTTATACCGGAAAGAACCTGCCTGCCTACTCGCTCACGGGATTCTTCGTCGTCGTCAGTCATCTTCTCTAGCATTTTCATATCAAATCTTGGCGTATGAACTGAGTCAATGTTAAAAAGATGGAGCAGAGCGAGAGAACATCGTTGGATGTGCTTGGAGATGGCCCTGATTTGGTGTCCGAAGTGATTACAGGTTTTTGTTTGTTTGTTTGTTTTTGTATTTCTTGGCATGATTATGTGAGCATGTTTGCATAATGTCATGTCTCTCTGTCTGTATCTCCTTTTTCTTTGTATGATATATATACATATATATATATATGTATACACATTCCTATGTATAACCCTTTCAACTGAGCTGTAGTGCTATGATTAGCTGAACAAGGTTTAATAAAAAATGGTATGCGTTTTCTTTCTTTCTTTCCTGTTTTTTTTTTGTCGATAACCATTCATAATTTATACATATTGCAAAATAAAACTTCAATACAAAATTTAATGGATTACTAATAATATCTGCGCTAAATTTCACACTAGGAAACAGATCAAACAAATACAAATGCATTGGAAGTTTTTGAAGAATTTCACAATTACTTTGTGACTATCATTCAAAACAATGACATCATTATACGAACGAACAAAATCGGTTTGAAAATAACGAACAAGTTGATAATTATCATATATATATATATATATGAAAATAAAAACACATTCACAAATGCATTGTAATATATTTTTTTTTATTTTATTCCACAGAAGATTCAGAAGAAGAATCGTCTATAGTAGTAGTAGTAGTAGTAGAAGTCGAGGTTCCACTGTCGCTGTCGGAAGATACGGTAGGCTTATCTTCAACAGGCTGTTTAAGATGCCAGTACATTATACTTGCCGTCAACGTAAGCATCATCTTCTGGTTCACCTTTTCTCCCAAACATTCCACACATCAATATACATACATACATACATACATACATATATATGTATGTATATACCATCTTCAATTCATTTAATGTTATTTTGTTTATTAATAGAAGAACATAACATAACATACCTCAATGATGTCTTCAGGAAGCAAAAATATTGAGCAGCCGAGTTTTCTAGCGACGCTGATGACATAGCTCGCATTCATCTTTCTCTCTTCATCTACAGAGAGTTGTCCAATCATATTTTCTCATCAACTTCCTTCTGATACCAGACCCGTACTTACTTCCATTCCATTTGGAGAACTATGTGTATGTGCATATGTATATATGTATGTATGTATATGTCGGTGTACGCAACGCTTACCAGACACTCCTTTGGTGACAACACTCCAGTTTACTGCTCTTGGTTGGACTGCTCTAAGCAGCTCTAGGAAAAATATTCCATCAGACAAGCTCTTGTCCTGTGAATTCAAACAGCATATGTCACTTAAGACTGCATCCAGATATTCGGTTTCTTCATCTTTTCGAGATTTCTGGTTATAGGCATTTATGCCGAGTTATGTGATTTGGGTCCATATGATCTCTCATATGGCATTAGATGCATCGGAAGAAGGAAGATAACCGCGGCTAGTAGGGGTTACCTTAAAACTATACATTCGGCTTTGGCTTCCGTTGTTTCTGACTTTGGTGTTTGCCCACTCCAAGATATCACCGTCGGTGATTTCTTTTCCATAAGAATGGAATCTCAAGTTCCTAAGAAGTTGGAGGATGTTGTATCTCATCAATTGCCACAGGTAAGCTGAAACAATTATTTCAAGTCATTGTTACAAAAGCTCGAAACTTTAAAAAAAACACAGCACAGGCCGAGATTTACCGAGTATGAGCTTCTTGTTTCCCTGAACGATGTCATTTCCAGCAATGTTAACCAAGGAGAACTTGAGCTGGTTCCCTATTTTCACCACTTGGTTACAGTTCTCCACTTTCTTGAATGGTAGTTTGATAGGAGGCTTGTTTGCTACTTTCCAATTGACAATTCCCGGAGACACCTTCTCGAGCGTCTGCAATAGTATCCAACTGCAGCATACCAGATCAACACATCTTAGTATCAAACCAATCCAACTTCACGTTCTGTTTTGCGATAACCACACTGAACTCAAGATACGGCTTTCGTTTCTTATACTCCATGTAGTAACACTAACCCATCTCTGAGATCTTCAAAAACATTGTTGATGTAATGAGAATTATCGAAGCTATTGATCCAAAATCGGAATGCTTTTTCTTCTCTGGATATTTGAGTATCATCAGGTAGAGTTTCAAGGAAAGATATCTGTTTTGTTTCCGTTGAAAGCCCGTTTCTGCCAAAAAAAACGTGGGTGTTACTCATTAGTTTCGGGAGAAGGGTGGATACAGGATATAATAAAATTGAGTATATTTTCCAGTCGATGTAAATTCCACTGGATGTAGCTTGCATATTTTTACCTGTGCTGGAATATATGTGCAACAAAAGCAAGATTGAGATTCGGGGAACCATCAACTATATCCTTGGCAGTCAGGTATCTCCTGCAGCCCATTCTATCAGCGTGTTCAAGAACTAGCTTTGCTCTTTCAAAAGGGTTTTTAGCAGCCAAAGTCGACGGATTGATGTGCTCTGGTGCCAGGACATTTAAAAGATGAGCATAAGCTTCGGCATCCTGCAGCAGACATGTCATATGGAACAAAGATTAGATTATAAGGAGATTATGCAGTCTCAAACCATATCATTAACAAACCAACCAATTGCAGAACTCAGAGCTAGCTTCATATCGTATTTTAAGTACCTTTACATCCGAAGAGAAATTCGTGATAGTTTTCTTGTACTCAGTTTTCTTTAGCTGAAAATTCATCCACCTCAGTAAGATTTTCTCAGGTGGTAAACTCATCAGCTCTTCCACATCCTGTTGATATCAATAGTTGAAAGAAACAGCTTTTCAACATCTGTTTCAGAACGGCATATAAAGCATAATTCTTAGGACAAGATGTGACCTTTACCTTACTATCGTCGACCAATTCCACCAGCTCGGGAGTTTTCTTCAAGTTGAGGTCTGCTAGCAATTGTATCTAGACAGCAGAACGTCAAGGAAGATCAATGGAGTGTCATTGAAAACAAGATTCACAGTATCAAACACGAAGTATCTCTTCCAGATTTCAGTTTTCATTCCCAAAGTAGAAATGTTCCATCAACTTACCTTGATGATTTGAGAAATCAATCCCAGCACAAGATGACGCTGAAAATTAAAGTAACCAGGAGTTAATCATATAACCCACACCAAAATTCAGGAAAAGAATATGATGAATTGGATTTTCAATGTCCATTGAATTCCCATACCCTTCCTTCAATGATATCTTGAGTTCCAATATTAACCACAGTACATCCAATTGCCTTGGCAGAGTTAAGGAACAACGTATGATTCTCGTTCCTCTCCCATGGATTAAGCTGACTCTTAGTGTTGATTGCCCGTTCATCAATTGTCCCAGGAACCGCCACATTTATAAGCTTGCTGCGTTCTCACGCGCCCAAAAAAGGAAGGCTCAGAAACTTATCATCAGCGAGAAAGATGAAACGAAAGATCATCAGAACAAAAAGAAGGAAGAAAATCAAAGGATGATTACCAAAGGAGAACGCCATCTTTTGCTATCTCGAAGAGATCGTTCGAGGAGGGATCAATCGGTAGGTACTTCTTCAGAAATGTATCTCCGGCAAGGTAGTTGTTGATATGAGCGACGTAAGAGGACTTCTCCGAATGGCTGATCGTGTGCAACAGCGTGGTGGTCGCTGCCTTGAGAAACGCTGATGAGTTCTTCGCTCCGCTCCCGATAATGGCGTTCACATGCGCTTGAAGTTTCAGATAAACCTGTAAATATCATCCAACCAACAAAATCCCGATTCAAAGAATCTATAGAAATCTGCGAAGAACAGAACTCGTGCCCGCTCGATCAATCTACAACATAACAGGAGATACCAGATCGGTTTACGAGCATTTTGAGAAAACACAGATCAGCAGAATACAGACCCTCAAGTAGAACTCGAAATCGACTTCATCGTTCAAACAAGGATGGAAACTCTGGATCAGAGACGCTCTCTCTTCCTCGCTGAGGTTCTGATCTCCCACCACTTTCAAACTCGACATTCTCGAAGCGAGATCCGCCGCCGTCAGCTTCCCGCTCTCCCTCCTCATGCTCGTAAACTACCAAAAAAAACAATCAAAACAAACGAAATCAGATAAAAAAATGATTAAATAAACGAAACGAGACAAAATTCAGAAAACGGAAATGGAGATTTCATTATCCTTTAGTGAACGAAAAGTACATGAGATTTCAAACTCCGAAGCTCCACTTGCGTGAACTGGTTCTGCAGCCATGGATCCGACACCAGAATTCCGACGTATCCCGACATTTCGTCCTCCCCTCCGATCGGCGAATCCCGATCGGCCCCTGAAAACCAAACAGATCTTCCTCTTCTTCTTCCTCTTCGTCTTCTTCTCTGAAACAGTGGAGCTCGGGTGACAATGGGGGTGTGAGAGGGGCAGAGCTGTCTCAAAGGAAGAGAAATTCAAAAATATGACCAAACTGTCCTTGAGAGCTTCCTTCATTTGAACTTTCACATCACTTTTTCCGTGTGCACACTTCTCTGCGGGGTCCACATTGTCGTTTGGATTTTCGAGAATTACCGAATTTACCCCTCACCTTCAAGCGGTCGTCACTGTTAACGGGAAGGGTGATTACGGAAATATAAAACGATGCCTGTAACGGTCGTTTTGAGTATAAAGTGAAATGGACGTGGCGGATTAGATTAAATCATTAAAAGTTCAAACTCGGTTCATTAAAAGTGATATTTGATCTTTCTTTACTTTAACTTCTTAGTTCAAAAATCTCCATATTTTTTTAAATTCAGAGAATAATAATAACAGGATGATATATATTCGGAAAAAAAGGGATTCTTAATAATATTTTTGTCATTGTTTAATTTATTTCTTGAAATTTGATACACATGAATACTTCGTCTTGATTCATGCGAGTAGAACCAAAAGATATGTTTCATTATGTTATTACATCACAATTACATCTATAATAAGAATAGTGATAGATTTTATCTAATGGAATAAAAACCATATGTTTCGTATTTATCTCTAATGTGTAAATTTGTTTTGATTGCAACTCTAAAGTCTCTATATAATTTCTGACACTCTAAAATTCGACCGACCCCGAATTACGATATAAACACTGTTATATTACGTCTGCAACTTTTGGAAAAAGTAAATCTAGAAATATTTTTCATTTAAAAGAAAAAAAAAAGAAAGACATAAAATTAAAAAGCAGTTAGGTATGGCATTATTGATGGGAAGATCATAGGGCTAACCAACCATATATGTTCCAGAAAATGTAATTACATTTTGCAATATGTATTCATTATATTTATTAACTATATTTTATTATACATCATGTGCCATGTCATTCCTGACTTAAATCGATTGATTTTTCCGTATCTTGCAGACATTTACACAGTAATAATTATTATTTATTTATATATCTTCTATATGTTTTTATATATTGATTCAGAAATTATCATATTACAGGTTATTGAAATAGACTTGGAGAGAGAGAGAGCACTTGTTTCAAAAGCGAGACATAAATGAAGGGTTGCATATAAAGCATGGATGGCAAAAATATAAAAAAAAAAAAGAAAAAGAAAAGAAAATTGGCAATAATTGAAACAATAATAATATGAAACAATCCTTAACAATGTGTTCGCATATTCGATCTTCATTTGTGTCATTATCACTTTATGTATGTATCATACGTAAACCATATATATATATATATATATATACAAACTTATATTTGTATAAACTCCACAAAAAATGTTACAAGCATGCAGAGTATATAATATTATACCATGTATTATTTCAAAATTAAAAAAAAAAAATTGTGAACCATGGATGATGAGCTTAATGAATCAGAAGACCATCATGTCATATGGAGCTTCCATCCACATGCCCATTGGTGCTGATTTTTTAGCTTTTGGTGATTTTCATAATTCCAAGCTGATACTGTGAATCGTTTTTATATAAAAATATGATCCTTATACACGTCTTGCTTTAATATCATTGGGGAAGACAGTTTTTTCTTCATAATATAATGTTTCTTTAGTGTGTATTGTTTTCATGTCTCATGTTTGTGGTCTATCGTTCACAAAATCCAATAACATTTTAAAATTTATTTTTAACTTACTTTTAGGTATCAGTATGACATAAATACAAATTTAATAATCAAAAGAGATTTTACAATAATAAAAAGTTAGTTAAATTTAATTGCAGAATAGCACCTGCCTTCTTAGCTCAGCGGTAGAGCGCATGGCTTTTAACCATGTGGTCGTGGGTTCGATCCCCACAGACGGCGTATCTTTTTTTCCTTTTGCATTTCAATTATTTTTTAAATTTCGATTTTTTTTTAATCTCTTCTCGCAGTCGTCTTCTCCTCCTTCCCCAGCCTTCCTCCCCGTATACCTTAAAACCTTATTCACATACCCATCGGCAAAATCGCCAACAATAGGAGCTCCATCAACCGGTTCGGACACTGCACCATTCGGTATGATTCGAATTATGAGTCACCAAAATCTCGTCCAATGTCCGGTTTACCCATCATGGTAGATGTGACCGTTGCGCTCATCTATCTATCAAACATGCAAAATAAATCGGTCGTACGTTACACCCATAGTTAAAACCGTATATATTCATTTGAAAAAATAAATTGCCCGTTTCTTCATTTTGTTTGCGGCTAATTACGAAAAAAAAAGAACTTTAATTTCCGGCGATCCATTTATTTAAATCTGGTCCGTGACATTCTTGTTATTATGACACGACGATGCGCACCGTAGCGTAGGAAGGGACTGAAACGGCAATAGGGGCACTGTCCCGTAAATAAATGGAAAAGCAAGAGTACTCTCCGGACGTGAAAGCTATTCTTATACCTGCTTTAATCATCGCCATGTCTCTAACGGTTCCGCTTCTCCGCATCTATAAATACGTACACATACACTCCCTTTGCGTTTTCATTCGTTTACTCTCACTGTACGCTGCCGTCTCTTTCAGATTATCTCTTTTCTAGGATTGAGCACGTAATCCATCTGTCGTTTTTCTTCGTTCGTCTCTGCAATGGCGCAAGAGGAGGATGCTAACGGTGCTTCGGCCGAGAAGACGGTGACGTTCACGGCGGTTAAGCCGCAGCTTACGGTTGAGGCACCCAAAGCAGCGGACGCTATTCAGTTCTACAAGTCTGCGTTTGGTGCTGTGGAGTGCGGACGCTCTCTGAACCCTAAACGTAAGGCCGACCAGGAGCTCCCTCACATCCTCTCCGCCGAGCTTCAGCTCGCTGGTTTTGCTTTCCTCGTCTCCGACGCTACTGGTGATTCAGCTACTGCGTAAGCTCTTACTCTGTATCCTCCTATCTGTGTTTTGCGTGCAGTACCTGTTCATGGTGCTTGACGACTAAGTTTCTTTGCTTTCCTTTGTTTTGTCATTTGAGCTACCTCGCTTTCGAGCATAGATCTGTGTCTTGGTCCTGGTCTTTATAGGTTGTTAGATGTTTGGAAAATAAGCGATGTACTCCTACGCTTCACGGAGCTGTTCGTTTGCTTCGTTCATACCCGTCATTATGTGTATTTCGTTGCGTCTGTGAGTTTGTTTTGGCCTTATTTGCGACTTCTCTTGGACGTTTATCAGTGGAAAGACCGAGGGAGTCTCCATGTCTCTGTGCCTGGAGACCGAAAACTTCGAAGCCGCTGTGGC